CCGTCTTGGGACTCTCTTGGGGCTCTCCTGGGCCCTCTTGGTGGCCTCCTGTGGCCCTCTTTGGGCTCTCTTGGGAGCTTTCGGGGGCTCTCCGGGGCCCCTCTCGGTTACCTCGAGCTCTCTCTGGGGCTGCCTTGGAGCCCTCTTGGGCTGTCTTGGGGTCCTCTTTAGGGCGTCTCAGGCCGTCTCGGGGCGATCTGGTGATCTCTTGGACCGTTTCGGACGCAGATTAGACCGAAGAAGCGGAAATGCTAGAAATGCACGTTTTCCCAAGAGAATGACACGATTTTCGCCTCTTCGAGGCGCTCCTGGGAGGTGTCTTGGAGCGTCTTGAAGGCCTCGTTGGCCGTCTTGAGGCCGTTTGGTGCCTTCCTTGAGCGCTCTTGAACAGCTTGGGGGCCGCCCTGGGGCCGTCCTGAGACCAGCTTGGGCGTTCTAGAGCGGTCTTGGGCCGTTTCGGTGCTCCGCGGGACCGTCCGGGAACCGATCAAGTGTCCGCTCGGGCGGTGCAGGATGGCCAGGAGCGCGCAGGCACGAATGTATGTACGTGGGGGTGGAATCTCTTTTTAACATATTCGAAGAGTGATACCTATACCTGTATATGTATGTATAGATATGTATGAACATGCCATGTGTATGTACATCTATATATATATACACATAAAAAATATAACAAATGTACACATATACATATACATATATATATATATATATGTATATATGTGTGTATATATACACATATATATTTATACATATAACACGTCCGCGGTGTAGGGCGTGGATGCGAATGTGGATGTGGATGCGAGGGCGTGGATGTGGATACGTGCGTTTACGTACGCTCGCCGCTCGTGAGGCGCGGCGCCGATCCGCAGACGTCCGCGCGGGCATCCGAAAGGTTCTGCCTGTGCCTTTGTTGTTTTCTTCCTCGAGAGGCTCCTGCGCGAGGCCGCCCACCAAGTCGCCCGGTGCCGCCTCGAGGGCGGCGGTGGCGCCGGACAGCGTCCTCACGAAGACCTGCATGGCGACCGCGTCGTACAGCCTGCCCTGCGCGGCGGAGGCCAGAGTTGTCCCCACGGGGCCTGGGCTGGAGTGGCTTGAGCCGAGATGGCTGCTGCTGCGGAGGAGGAGGAGGAGGAGGAGGGAGAAGGAGGAGGGAGAAGGATGGAGGAGGATGACGAAGAGGAGGAGGTAGGGAGGAGGACGGGGGGAAGGACGGCGAGGAGGAGGAGGAGGAAGAGGAGGCGGAGGATGAGGAGGAGGAAGAGGAGGAAGAGGAGCAAGAAGAGGACCAGGAGGGGATGAGGCGGGGCGAGGAGGAGGAGGAGCAGGAGCAGGAGGAGGAGGAGGAGCGCACGGCTTAGACACAGGACGCATACCATATAGGACTAGCGAGACTGCCATAGAGCCAATTTTCTCGGCGTGCCGCCTGGCCCCGATCATGCCACGACGAACGTTCATTTTACTAGAGGCGCGAAGGGATTACTGCTGGGCCCCAACTACAGGACGACAGACAGCGTGTGGCAAGACCATACCAGGAGGCCGCAGCAGCACTCGCGAGAACCACGCCGCTGGCCCCGCTCTCGCCGGATGCCATCGGGCCCTTCCTTCGTGGAGGATGAGGGGCGACCACTGGAATGTCCCATGGCAGGACGCGGAGCACGGTGGCCACCTCGCTTCGCGCGATCGCCAAGGCCTTCACGGACCCCGAAGGCTTCCGAGGGCTTCCCAGGGCCTCCGAGGGTCTCCGGGGTCACCAAACCGATACGACGAAAAGACGGCGACGAGGCGACGACGACGACGACGACGACGACGACGGAAGACGACGGACGACGGACAACGGCGAGGACGACGGGCGACGGCGAGGACGACGGACGACGACGATGACGTCGACGACGGACGACGGACGACGGACGACGGACGACGGACGACGGACGACGGACGACGGACGACGACGACGACGACGACGACGACGACGACGACGACGACGACGACGACGACGACGACGACGACAGCAGTGACGGCGACGGCGACGGCGACGGCGACGACGAGGCGACGACGACGACGACGGAAGACGACGGAAGACGACGGACGACGACGATGACGTCGACGACGGACGACAGACGACGGACGACGGACGACGGACGACGGACGACGGACGACGACGGCGGCGACGGCGGCGGCGTCGAACGACGATGGAGGAGACGACAGCGGAGATGCGCCGCGCAAGCTTTCGATCCTCTGGGGACGTGGGCGGCGCTGAGTGCCCGCTGGGGGGGTGTTCCGCTTTTTGTTGCCTTTTCGACCCGGGCGTCTCTCCCCCGTCTCGGCCGCCGGGGCCCTTGTTCGGGCCCGTGGACGACCAACAAAAGAGGACTGGGGACGCAAAACCGCCCCCAGGGAGCGGGCGGCGGCGGGCCCGCGCCGACCCCAGCGCTGGCCCTCAGAGCGATGGCCCATGTGAACGGCCACTGTCCCTTTGCAACGGCCGCCTCAGGACAAAGACGCGAGGAGGAGGAGGAGGACGAGAAGAAGAGACGCGCCCGCCCTCGGGGATGGCGGAAGAGCTCGGAGCGGGCAGCCAGCGCTCAGCGCACCGCCGCCCCTGGCGCCGACGCCCTCCTCAGAGGCTTCGCCGGAGGGGTCTCACCACCTCCTCTGGTGCCTCCGAGGGCCTGGTGTTCGGCCTGGTCGCTGCTCCTCGAGGCGGTGCCTCGAGGATGCCCCTCGCATTGCTTCTTGCGGATGCTCCCTCCTGATCTTTGCGAGCCCTGTGGGCTGCTTCGCTGGGTTATCGTTTCCCTTATTTTGTCAGAGTTTTTGTTTCCGGCAAAGCAACTCACACCGACCCAATGGCTTCCTCACCGTGCCCGTGAAGTGGACCGCGAGGCCCCGCCCGAACAGACTCTCGCTCCCGCATGTCGGCCACGCTCGTTTCTCTTGTTTTGTCAATGTAAGGGGGCCGACCGGTCATCCGCTGTACCTGGGTGGACGGCTGAAGTGGGACTCCGCGGCGCGGATTCTGCTTGCTGCGTCGCGTTGCGTCGCTGACGTCGTCCCACCCGCGACCCACCCGCGACCGACCCACACTGCTTTGACAAAACAAAACAAAAAATCGGCGCCTGCGGCGGGCTCGTTCTGTGCGTTGTAAAAACTAGGCGCCTGAGGCGAGCTTCCTCAGAGCCTCGCAGACTGTCGACGACTCCGCCGCCCCCTCACTATTTTCCGCACCTGCGGGGGCTATGGGTTATGTGCCTCCAGTCCGTCTCTTGGCATCCATTAAAATTGCCTTGAACGTGCCGATGGCCTGCCTTGAGGTTGTCTCTGGCTTGCCTTGAGCGTGGTAGGAGCTTGATTACACTGGCCTTTCGCTTATACTTGGTCAGCCTATGATTACCACATTCAGCTAAGCCTGCCTTCGGTTCGCCATTGGTTTTCATCTGTATCGCCTGAAAATCTACTCTCGCTTGCCTGAGCATCGCCATGCAGTGAGCCATTCGAATCCCTTCGGTTTGTCTGTAGATGTCCTCTGGTTTGCATCTCGCTTGCCGTTGACGTCATACGAGCGCACGGCTCGCTGCTCTGATTTTGCCCCCCCCCCCCAGGCTGCTGGCATATTGGCATCCGAATGTCTCTAGTTTGCCTTCTGGCTGTCCGTCACACAGTCTGCAGCTTTCACTTAACTTGCGTTTAGCTTGTTCCTGCTTGTACTCAAGTTGTGTGTTTGCTTGCCTTCAATTCGCCTGCGATTCTTGTTTAGCTAGAGGGAGGGGCGCAGTGGAGGCGGGCACACCCGACGCGTCAACGCTTCAAGTGGATGCCTCTCTGTCCTCTGCTGCAAGGCGCCTTGCTCGCAGAAGGTCGAACCCTGCGGACCAGGGAGCAGGAGGAGGAGAGCGCATCATCACTGGTCCCAGTGATCGCAAAGGAAAGAAGCTATCCCACGATTCTCCGGGCATCCCACTTGGAGCAATGGCACGATCCGCCATGTATGTCACACCTGCCCGCGCGTCGACAAATAAGCGCTGCGTGAGCCAACGCCCAGATCGTGCCAATAGCCTCAGGGGCGCGACTGTCCTGCGGGCACCAACGTCCAATTTACTTCAGCAATACTGAACCAGCGTAGCAATGACAAACGAATGAAAGCCCAGCGGTCCTTGACGTAAAAGGGCACCACGATCAATCGTATTCCAGCGGCTGCACACAAGGATGTCTTTCGGTGGTCCCGTAAGCATTGTTGATCGAATGCATCGCTGTTCCTGCGGAGATTCCAGAAAGACTGCGGGTCATAATGTTGCTCGCCGTTGTATTCGAAAGCAATGCTTAGCTTTTGGCAGTAACCGTCAAGTTCCAATGGAACGCCGCGCAGCCCCTTGAGAAACAATGGCCGACAACGCGGGAACGAATGTCCCACAAATATGGTTTCTAAGATGATCCTGACCTCACGCTCACTTCTGCCACTCTGGCACACGGGGCACCATGAACCTCCATGTTTTACTGCTGTCAGTGACGTGTTCCACTCATGTCCTTCAGAACACATCCATCGCAGATGGCTGTGGCTGTTTGTGTAATAGGAAGACAAGCACGCCCCTCCTCTTCGAACAGCCTCAGCTTTAGCGTCTTCGATTGATAAGCGTCTCCGCGCTACAGAACATGATGGGCACCAAGTACCTTTGAGAACGTTGTTCAATCGGGCATGCCACTGGTGTCCTTTCCCACACTTCCATGTTACAACGAGTCCGCTTCGGCAAGCGATGCCCAAGCACTGGCCACCGCGAGACGTTGCCACATGTGTTGCAAGCTGCAGAAACTGAACGTCCTTGGAAGCTCGAACACACGAAGGGCACCATTTCCCTTCTGATCTCACGCCGCCGAGCCGCATCCAAAAAGTGTGACCATGTTCGCATTGCCATTGCAACGCTGACCTAGAATCGTTGTACCGAGTAGAGAGGCACAGCCCTCCTCTTGCCACGGCCGCCCTTATTGCATCATCGAGGGTAGGTCGAGCGTTTTTTGCGCAGTGCGGGCACCAACTGTTTCCGTTGCGAATCGAATGCAGCGTCGCGCTCCATTGATGACCCTTCGAACACTGCCACTTCAGAGGTACCATGCAATCCTGGTAGGATCTGGACAAGCACTGACCACCACGGGACACTGCGGCCTGCCTCGCTGCGAGGAGGCCAAGTTTGGGACGACCTGCCCGACGCAAGGCAGGTACTTCCTGCATGTGCAATACGCAAGCCTGCCCATACTGCGCCGACGACCTAACAAACGGATGACACCGGAGAAAAAACCCAAACAGATTTTTGTTGGGGCTATGGGGCTGTAGGGCTATAAAGCTATAAGGTTATGAGGCTATAGGGCTATAGGGCTATTGGGCAATTGGGCTATTGGGTTATAAGGCTATAGGGCTATAAGGCTGTGGAGCTATAGGGCTATAGGGCTATAAGGCTATGGGGCTATCGGGCTATAGGGCTATAGGGCTATTGGGCTATAGGGCTATAGGGCTATAGGGCTGTAGGGCTATGGGGCTATAAAACTATAGGTAGGGCTGTAGGGCTATTGGGCTATATGCTATTGGGCTATTGGGCACCCCGGGCACCCGGGCACCTGGGCACCCGGGCCCGGCCACCGAAATCGGCCACGCACCTCACCGGCCACCTGGGCACCCGGGCACCGCCGGGCACCCGGGCATCTGGGCACCCGGGCCCGGCCACCGAAATCGGCGACCCACCTCACCTAAACCTTCAATCCGCTAGGACCCCTCAGAGGCAAGCTCTGATTGGGGAACGTGAAGTTCTGTGGCAGGATGCCGGAACACGAAGACCAAAGAGAACAAGCTTTTCGCTGGCAGAGCGGACTGAGCCAAATGGGCCACGGAGGCAGCAAGAGGGTGACGAGGAGGACACCAGAGCTCCTAAGATCCCCCCCTGGAAAGTCCTCAAACCACCTGGCCGACTCTTGAAACCCTATCCAAAAATGCTGACGTCTTCTTTCTTTTGGCGAGAATTAATGGGGGGGCGATAAATGGGAGGGGGACGATAAGGTGCCCTTTTCGGGCCCTAAAAGAACCCTTGAGGGGCCCTTAAGTGCCCCTTTTCGGCAGCCCCCGCTGCCCCCAAATTAACCGCCCTCCCATTACACGTCCTCCGATGTTTCTTTTGCTACTTTCCGCCGGCCATCGGCAGCTTCCGCTGGCGGAGCCGCCGCGGCATTACTTTCGGTGGCTTCCGCCGTGGGCGATGCCTTCTTATGGAACGCCTCCCAAATATATGCCATCAGCCAAGAGGGGTTCCGCGCTCGTCCGCGGCACGCGCGGCGGCCAGCACGGGCGCAGTGCGCACATCTCGGACGAGACCAAAGCCGATCCCACGAGTACCGCCGATGAGATAGGCTCGCTCACCCTCGGTCGTACTCCTCCTCCTCCTCCTCCTCCTCCTCCTTCTTCTCGTTCCTCCTTCTCCTCCTGAATACTGGGTACTGGTGGCTCTTGGGTCATCCGACGCAACCATGACCCCCAAAGGGGTACGGTCGGACGCATGACAGAAGAACATCCTGCAAGAACAGGAGATCCTTCGTAGGCCGAACTGAAGAATATTCGAAAGTACCCTCCGCCAGGATGCACAAGAACATCCAACAAACACGGAGAACATTAGGGCACCCTCCCCGAACTGACCTCGATCTGTTACCCCGGCCCGACCGTATTTGCCCCTGTGGGGGGAACAAGCTAGGCATCTGCAGAGCAAATAGCATTGGGGGGGAAGCGACTGGCAGACCCCCCAGGGGAGGGGCTCCAAATCCCCCTACACCCTGAGGGGGGAAGGATGGGGGGGGGGGCGGGGGGGGGCACACAAAAAGGCTTCTAAACACAAAAAGAGGCAGGGAAGAGTTGGGGAAAACAGCGGCGTTGACGAGGTTGGGCGCGGCAGCTTGGTGTGTGGATGTGGCCACTGTCGCCCAAAGTTGGATGGCGCAAAAGCCTCATAATCAGCAGCATCTTCATAATCAACACCATCAGCCACTATCAGCATCACCAGCCACCATCATCACCAGCAGCATCAGCATCAGCGGCATCATGATCAGCATTATCAGCAGCTTTGTCATCATCATCACCACCATCACCATCACCATCACCATCATCATCATCATCATCATCATCATCATCAGCAGCATCCTCATCATCAGCATCCGCATCATCACCATCACCATCACCACCACCTCCATCATCATCATCAGCAGCAGCATCATCATCATCATCATCATCATCATCAGCAGCATCAGCATCAGCATCAGCATCAGCATCAGCATCACCATCATCAGCATCAGCATCATCATCAGCATCAGCATCATCATCAGCATCAGCATCGGCATCAGCATCATCACCATCATCATCATCACCATCCTCATCCTCATCCTCCTCATCATCATGATCATCATCGTCATCACCATCATCGTCGCCATTGCCACTCTCATCGCACTAGTCCTCCGCCTCCTCGACCTCCACCACCGCATCCGCCTCCTCCTCATTCTCCTTCTCCCCTGCACCCTCCGCCCTCCAGTCTTTAACCTTGTGCCCCCCTCCTCCCCCCAACTTTCCCTCTCCCCCTCCTCCGCCGCTCCTCCGCCCGAACGCTCCTCGTGGCAACGGCGCGCCCCGCGGCCGCCCAGAAGGCCTGAGGAGGAGGCCGTTCGCCTCCGCGGTGTGCAGATTCTGGCCGAAGCCGCCTGGCATTGCCGCCGCCCGCCGTCGCCGCCATCGTCGCAAGGAGGGGGGGCGGAGCGAGGAAGGAAGTGGAGGGGAGGGGGCAGGGGGGAGGGGGCGAGGGAGGGGAAGGGAGAAGGGAAAGGGGGGGAGGGGGAGGGAGCAATGGGGGCGAGGGGGCGAGGGACGGGCGAGAGGAGAGGATGGTGCGGTGGAAGGAGGGACGGGGAAGGGGAAGAGGGAGAGGGGAGGGGAAGGAGAGGGGGCGAGGGACGGGGAAAGGGAGGAGGGAGAGGACGGGAGAAAAAGCTGGGTGCGCTCGCGCCACATCTGACATCCGACCCCTCCCTCACGTCCCTTATCAGTGCAACGTGTGTCATCGCGGACCTGGAACACCCAAAAGGACCCTCATCGTGTTACGCGCAGTCGTAATAAGGGAGCTGTGCACATTGGAGGAGGAGAGGAACAAGAAGAAGAAGAATAATAGTAAGAAGAAGAAGAAGGTGGCGGATGCGCAGGAGGATGAGCAGGAGAAACATTATGATAAGCATGAGGAAGGATGAGGACGAGGAGGAACTGCACCAGAAGGAGCAGGAGAAACGCGAGGAGCGGGAGGAGCAGGAGGACCAGGGGCAGGCGGGGGAAGGGAAATGAAGGGGGCGACCGTGCCGAGGAATCACTCGGATCCAGAAATGTGGCCCGGCACGGCAAATCGCCGATCCTAGAATGAAGCTAGCGCTGCAGCGGGAGCGCGGGAGAGATGAAGGGGAATTTTATAGTTGCATTTTACTAAACTCATATTGTCGTAATACTCATCATATGTACTCATGTTGTGTAACCGTCGCCTCTGTAATACTCATACTGTGTAGTTGTGCAAGGGGCGGGAGTGCCAGCGGGAGGGGGTGGACGGGACGGGGGCGAGGGGAAGAGCGGGTGGAGGAGGCCCTGAGAGGCCCTCAGGCCCACGAGATGCGCCCACGAGCCCTCAAAGAGGCCTCTGAGCAACCTCCAAGGCTTCCCAAAGAAAACGGAGAGAACGCGTTTCGTGAACGCTCGCCTGGGAAACATTCCGCGACACGCCAGAACTGGCTCCAATGGGATCCCACTAAAACTCGATCCGACTCTAACAGAATCCTACGAAAAGCTGTCCAGCTCTAATCGAATATTACTAGGACTGGATCGTGCTCTAAACCTACCAGGGTTCGATCCAGCTCTGACACAATCCTACTTAGCTTCGGTCCAGCTCGAATGGAATCTTACGAGGGCTGAATCCTGCTCTAGTCCTGCCAGGGCTCGATCCAGCTCCAATGGAAGCCCACAATGATCGATCCAATTTGTACAACATTCTAGTAGGGCTGGATCCAGTTCTACTGGGACCATTCTTAGGCTGGATTATTCACTTGCCGAACTTGAAGTGGTCAACTCCACTGATCGCGCAATCATCCCACCCACCCACCCGCAACTTGGTTTGCAAAACCCATGCGGGACTGAGCACAGATATCGCTCAAGGGTCGTCTTGGAGCCCTCGGGGGCGTCTCAAGAGCGCCCCAAGAAGGCCGGAGAAGCAAGACGGCCGACGACGACGACGACGACGACGACGACGACGGCGGCGACGACGACGACGCCGACGTCGACGACGACGAAGACGACGACGCCCACGCCGACGACGACGACGAAGACGACCACGACATCGCCAACGAAGACGACGACGAGGGAGGAGGGAGGACGACGACGGCGACAATGACGACAACGACGACAACGACGACAACGAGGGAGGAGGGAGGACGGCGACGACGCGAACGACGAAGGAGGAAGGACGGCGACGCCGACGACGACAACGACGAGGGAGGAGGGACGACGACGACGAGACGACGACGAGACGACGACGACGACAACGACGACGATGACGGCGACGAAATAGGAGGGACGACGACGAGACGCCGACGACGGACGACGACGACGACGAGGGAGGAGGAGGAAGGACGACCACGGCGACAACGACGACGGAAACGACCACGACGCCAAAGAGGACGACGACGACGAACACGAGGAAAGACACAGGACGACGTAGGCGACGACGACGACGACGCGGGAGGAGGGAGGACGGCGACGACGACGACGACGACGACGACGACGCCGCAAGAGCGCGCGCGCACGCTTTTGTTGAAAATCCGTGTTGCGAAACCTTGTGTTTTTGTAGGTTTTTTGGACGCGAGATTTTGAAATCCTTCCGAAACCGATGGGTTTTGAAGGATTTCGGCGTACGCGCGCGACGACGCGCGCGTCTGCACTTCGTCCCATTTCTTGCAGAGGATTCTCGCGACGGCACACGCGCAAGGGCGTTCGACAGATTTCGACATGCGCGCGCGCGACGCCCGTTTGGTAGCATTTTGTGACAATCTTGAAACAGCAAAATGGTTTTCTTTAGATTTCGCAAGAGCTCGCGCGTAAGCTTTTCTAGCAAATCAATATTACGAACCCCTGTGTTTTTGTATGTGTTTTGGAAACTCGATTGCGAAATCCTTCCGGCACCGAAGGTTTTTGACGGATTTCGGCATGCGCGCGCGACGACGCACGCGTGCGCACTTCGTCCCAATGTTTGCAAGGGATTCGCGAAAAAGTGTTATGTTAGAACAAGCAAATGTCACCGCATAGTGTTTTTTTTTACCAGGGAACCTCAGGGGGAGATACTGGTTGGCCTGGGACATTGTGATTTCATATTTAGGATGGACACGTGGTCATAATCATATGTGATGTACATACCCGAAAGGGGGGGCGATAACGCCGGGGGGGGGGGTAGAGTCTATTCTCTTTTTAGAAAAGAGAATCGAGCTCTAATGGAATCCTCCTTGGGCTCGATCCAGCCCTGGTGGAATCCGATTACGGCTCGTTCCAGATCTGAGAGAATCCTACGAGGGCTCGAAACAGCTCGAACAGAATCTTACTCAGGCGCGATCCAGCTTTGGTCGAATCCTACTCGGGCTCTATCTAGCTCGAATGGAAGCTCACTGGGGCTGGATCGAGCTTTGATGGAATCCTATGGAATGCTACTTTGGCTCGGCCTAACCCTATAAAGTCTTGTTCGGGCTCGATCCAATAAAATCCTGCTGGGGGTCGATCCAGCACGAATAGAACCCTACTGAGGGCGGATCCACCCTTAATCACATCCTACTAGGTTTCGACCCCACCCTTATGGATCCTACCAAGGTTGAGCCCAGGTTTTGTAGCATTTCACGAGGGATGGACCCAACTCTAATACAATCAATCCTACAAAGGACCGGCCCAGCCCTCGTAGCACCCTGCTAGGTCTGGATCCAGATCTAAAAGAATCTACCCGGGCTCGATCCAGCAGAATCCTACTCGGGCTCGATACAGCTCTCATTCATTTAATCCTACTAGGGCTGGGTTCCAGCCAAAGAGAATTCTACTAGGATTCGATTCAGATCTAATGAAATCCCTCTAGGGGCCGATCCATCTCTAACAGAATCCTACTAGGGCTCCGTCGTCGTCGCAGTCGTCGTCGTCGTCGCTGCCCGACGCCGCCGGCGCCGGCGCTGGCGCTCGCCGTCGTCGTTTGCCACTGGCGGGTGGGGGGTAAGCGGTTCGAACCCCCCCCCCCCGCCTGAACAATTCAGGGGGGTGGGGCGCTCGGTTCGGGATCGCCCCCCCCTTTGGGGGGAGTGGTGCCCCCCGCCCCCGGTTCGAACCCTCCTCGCTTGGAGTCCTGGACCTCCTCGAAATCACGACGGGAGGTTCGGCCTTTGGGGGCCCTCGCTGGGCCTCGGGACCGTCAAAAAACGACTCAGGATGGAAAACCGGTCCCGGGGAAGGGGTCCAGACCTCTGGGAGTCGACGTTGTGAAAAAATCACGACGTCGGGGGTCTGGGATTCAGGGGGGGGCACCCACTCGGTTCGAACCCCCCTTCCCATTCCCAGCGTCCTCAGAACGCGCTCTGTCGAACAACGCGACACCAATGCACCGATACCGCCGCGTCGTGGCGGTGTTTCCCAACTGCCCAGAAGAGATCGAGCTTGTCCAGGAGAGATCGGCAAAACCGTCCCCGATGCCATGCGGGCACGGCGGCGGGGCTTGCCGCAAAAAGCTCGTCCGGGGACCAGATTGGGCCGCGGTGTTCGAGGAGCCCGAGGACGAACCGAAGAAATGTGCAAGGAACGCGGAGCCACTTTCTGAACCAAGTGCAGACGCGCAGTGCAAGTGGCACCTCGAAGCTACCCCATCCCCCTGGGACAACTAGAAACGAATGCCGCCCACGTGGTCCAAGCAGCCTTCCCTCTGCCACTGCCCAAGAAATGTAGTAGGGATTGCAGCTAATTGAACATGCAATACCCCTGGAAGTCCATGATAAAACATGCTGAAGCAATGGCAGCGCGCCAAGCCCGATAGCCGATACACTGGGATGCAAGGCCCACGACCCCGTGACGCCAGGGCACAATTGCCTTGATGAGCACTGCACCCTTGCTGCTGACCTTGGACTTGGACCACGGGTTGAAGTCTATCAAGACTGGCCGGCAATGAGACTGACGGTGCCGTTAGCGCAACGGAGAAGAGGCGGACGAGAAGCGCAGACGGAGGCCAGACGGGCGGCCAGGGGTGCTGCGCGCAGACGCAACAAGAGGAGCGGAGGCGCCCAAAGACCGGAGCCTTCTCTGTCGCTCTCCCTCGCGTAGCACGACTTCAGCTTCCCCACGAAGCGGATGGTGGGCAGGGCCGTGGGCCAGTCAGGACCTGAGCCCCCCCCCGGGGATGAGAGACGGCACGAGGCACGCGCCGCCCGGCCTGGGAGCATGTTTCCGCCCTGGCCCTCGGGACAAAGGTGGCACTGGCGGATGCGTGTCTACAGCTGGACCGAAGCCAGGAGGACATCCCTCGAGAACATGAGACCCTCCGCCGGCCAAAAACACACTCAGAGCATCCAAGGGTACCCTCCCCAGGGTGCACGAGAGCATCCAACAGTCACGAAGAGCACGAGCCTACCCTCCCCGAGCCGACCTCGAGCTCATACCTCGGTCCGACGGTGCGCTTGTGGGCGTCGCGGCCGCGCGCGCAGCGACGCACCGCAGTCGGGCAGCAGAGGGCGGAGGAGCGCGCCGGGACCTCGCGCAGCACTGGGCGGGGAGCGCAGGGGTTCCACCACGCAGGGAGCCACGCCGTGCGGGCATCCTACGGGGGGCCAGCCGAAGGGGGGGGGGGGCGGGGACGAGCCGGGGGAGCTGCCAACGGAGCCGGCGGTGGGCAGGGAATGGCCACGCCTCAGTTGGCGTTGCACCGGCTTTTAGACCCTGGATACCTTATGCAAGGATTCCTGATTTGGCGGCGCGCACAAGGCGGTAGGGGGAGGGGGGAAGGCTTCTTAGAAGAGGCTGGTTCTTAGAAAGCGCCAGCCCTACATTTGTAAAGAAGTCCCGCGCCTTCTATTCAAGGAGCAAGGGTCCTTCTCTAACTCAGAAGCCTTCCCCCCTCCCCCTGCCCCCCGGCACTGGCGACTGCGACTTGTGGGTCGACCCCGCGGGCCGCGCCGCGCGCGTCCATATCAGCGTTGACGTTCGGGGGCGAGGGGGCCGGATCAGAACGTGCGCTTGACTTCGAGGAGGGCTGTAGTGGACGGGGCAGGACACGGGCGTGGATGGTGAGACCAAAAGGTACCGATACTGCCATCCCCCAGACCTCTCCCGGGGTGCGTTCTGAGCAGAATTTCGAGGCGAGTCCAGCGGTGGCGACGAGAGTCTCCCAGGAGGCCCCAAAAAGGGGGAAACGGGCGAAGGGTAGCGCTATGGGTACCTTATCCTCCGGGCACCAGGCCGGTGCGCCGCGGAGGGCCGCGGAAGGGCGGAGGCACAGAGTCTGGGCGGGGCAGCAGCAGCGAGAAGGGCGGCCAGCGGCGCCGGTGAAGAGGAGGAGGAGGAGGAGGAGGAGGAGGAGGAGGAGGAGGAGGAGGACGAGGACGAGGGGGGGGGGGGAAAGGAGGAGGATGGGGAGGAGAAGGAGGAGGAGGAGGAGGAGGAGGGCGAGGGCCCTTGGCTCCCGATTTCGCAGTGCTCTGGCTGACGTTCCGAGCAAAGGGGGAAGGCGAGAAGGAGAGGGCCTTCTTAGAAGGCGGCGTGACTTCTCAGAAGCCCTCGCGCCTTCTGAGTAGTTTTCCCTGCGGGTTCGGGGGAGGCTTGCTCAGCGGCGGCGAGCGAGGGGGGGAAAAGAGAAACAACACATTGAGGCAGCATTTCCCTTCTCCTCTGGTCAGGCAGGCGCCTCCACCAGGAAGAAAACGAGGCAGACGCCGACCCGCCGAATAGATCAACGCCATACACTAGGGATTATCTGCGACGAGGCCCTCCTCGAGCAGCACGAACACGAAGACGCCCCGCGGCCTGCACGACCAGCAGAAGGCCTACTCGGAGGGCGGCGGGACTTCTCAGAAGCCCTCGCGCCTTCTGAGAGAAGTTTTCTCTCCGCTTTCGGAGCAGGCTTCGAGCATTGGCGCACCATTTCCCTTCCCCTCTGGTCAGGCAGGCGCCTCCACCATGAGGAAAACGAGGCATACATACGCTGACCAGCCGAACAAAAAAAAACTTCTCCGAGGGCCGGAGGGGGGGCCTCCGAGCCTTCTGAGGGGGCCCGCCCCCTCTCGCTTCTCCCCATGGGCTCGCCCCCCGAGGACTGCGCGGGGCGAGCGCGCGTGCAGAAGGAGAAGCGCGTCTGCGCCAGGCGAGCGCGCGCGCGAGGCGGGATGCGAAGCGCTGGGCGTGCAGCGCGCCGGAGGGGAAGCCCGCAGCCCGCAGGCATCGGAAGCCGCAGTCGCCCCTCTGCGGGGATGTGCCACGTGAGCTGAGGCGGCGCGCACCACCGAGCCGGCCGAATCGTGGAGGAGGAGGAGGAGGAGGAGGAGGAGGAGGAGGAGGAGGAGGAGGGGGAGGAGAAGGAGGGATGATGGGGAGGAGGAGGGAGGAGGAGGAGGAGGAGGAGGAGGAGGAGGAGGAGGAGGACACGCCCACTGTGACATGGTCAGGAGAAATTACGCTTGGTCGCAAATTGGCGGGACGGAGGAGGTGTCCTCCGAACTCCCTGCAGAGCGGAGCGATGCTATGAGTCGATCGGTCACGAGGCGGCGGGCCCTGTTCGGGGAGAGCGGAGTGGCGCACGGCCACCGCCACTCGGCCACCGCCACTCCCGAGATGCGCTGCCGAGGAAACACGTTTTGTCCTCCTCTGGGAGGAGGAGGAGGAGGAGGAGGAGGAGGAGGAGGAGGAAAAGGAAAAGGGGGAGGGGAGGGGGGGGGAGGGGGGGGGGGGGGAGGGGAGGGGGGGGGAGGGAAGAGGAGGGAGGAGGAGGAGGAGGAGAATGACGAGGAAGTGGTGGAGGAAGAGGAGGTCACATGCTCGGCCGCCTGCTGTTGCCGGCTATAGCCCGAAGGCTCCCAACACAACCTCCAGAATGGAGGAGGGAGCTCTGCGAACGGGCGGGAATTCCTCCAGAACCGTTCTCAAAACCCTTGGCGCTGGCCGACCTGGGGAGCAGGTGCGGCCGGCAACGAAGCGCCAAATCGGAGCGGAACGGCACGGAGTCGGAATCGAATCGAGTCGGCCGCGCCAGGATGCACAAGAACGCCGTGCGAGCATCGGGCCGCTTCTCCTCCTCCTCCTCCTCCTCCTCCTCCTCCTCCTCCTCCTCTCCTTCCTCCTCCCCCCGTCTTCAAGGCGAGCCGCATCGTCGGAATATCGGAATCGGGCTGGGACATTCGAAATCGATGTCGAATCGAATCGACGGGATCGACAGGGGCCCTGGAGGGCGCTGGGGGTCTGCAGCCGCGGCCTCGTCGTCGTCGTCGTCGTCGTCGTCGTCGTCGTCGTCGGTCGTCGTCGTCGTCGTCGTCGTCGTCGTCGTCGTCGTCGTCGTCGTCGTCGTCGTCGTCGTCGTCGTCGTCGTCATCGGCTTTTTTGTTGCTTGCCGCGCAGCGCCTGCGCCTCTTCGGGGCAGGGCCTCGGGGGTCTATTCCCCCCCCACCCCACCGGGCGGGCGCACCAGGAGGAGGAAGAGGAGGAGGAGGAGGAGGAGGAGGAGGAGGAGGTTGGAGCGTCTGGGGAAGGAGGAGGAGGAGGAGAAATAGGAAGAGGAGGTCCAGAGTAAACCAGGAGGCCTCAACGATGCTGCTGTGCTGATGAAAGTGATGCTGTTCTTGCCTCCGTCGCCGACGACGAAGCTCATGATGGTGCTGCTGCTGATGACGTTAAGGATGACGACGACGATGATGAACATGATATGATAGCACAAACGACGAGGATCATGTTGATGCGGATGGTGATGAATGATGAACGGCGCATGGTGAATGATGATGGTTATGCTGGTGATGAGAATGATGATGTTGATGATGAAGATGATGAGGATAACAATGATGATGCATGCCTTTTTTTGTGGGGAGGATGTGTACTACGATGAGCACGATAACTACGTCTCCAGGCCGAAAGCTTTCCTCTTGCATTAAAGCCATGGAACCAATTGGGTACCACTACGTGTGTGCAAGAGTCTGGTGGATCCCATTTATGTATCTTCCCAAATAAGTTCTCTTGCGTGGAAGCTTAGTGAATCCCACAAGTAGCTATTGTAGACTCACAGGGAATGGGATCCGCAAAGCCGTGGATCTGCATACCAAATGCTATGACTCTACGCGAAATATGTTTCCGTGTCGGTCGGCCTGTCGGTCGGCGATGGTCGTCGTGGGTCGGTTGGTCGGTCGGTCGGCCGGCCGGCCAGTCGGATGGCGCGTCGGTCGTTTGGTCGGTCGGTTGGTCGGTGGGTCGGTCGGTCGGTCGGTCGCCGTCGTCGTCAGTCGGTCGGTCGTCGTCCCGTCGGTCGGCCGATCGGTCGATCGTCGACGTCGTCGATCGGTCGCTCAATCGGTCGATCGGCCGGCCGGCCCGTCGGTCGGTCGGCGCGTCGGTTGGTCGGTCGATCGGTCGGTCAGTGTCGTCGTCGTGGTCGGTCCGTCGGTCGGTCTGTCGTCTGGGGCTCAAGAGGAAAATCACTCGGCCTGCTGAAGATAATGATGAAGATGAAGATGATGATGCTGATGATAATTATGATTATACTGATGATGGCTCTTATTATTATGATGGCAACTTTGATGACGATATGGATGATGATGATGATGATGATGATGATGATGATGATGATGATGATGATGATGATGATGATGATGTGGATGATCATATTGCTGATGATGATGGTGTTGATGATGTTGATGATGTTGATGCTGACGTTTATTACGGTGATGACGGTGATGGTCATGATGGTGACGATGATGATGATGATCATGATCATGATGATGATGATGATGATGATGATGATGATGATGATGATGATGATGAGTCTTACAGTTATTGTGCTCGTATTATTGTTACAATTGTTATGACGATGATGCTGACTATGATGTTGTTGATGTTGAAGTTGTTGGTGATGGTGATGATGATAATTATGATGGTGATGTTGATGATGGTGTTTACGACTATGCTGATGATGATGGTGGTGATGATAATGGTGATGACGAAGATGGTGATGATCATGCGGATGATGATGATGGAGTTGATGATGACGATGGTGATGCTGGTAGTGGTGATGAGATTGACAATGACGACGATGATGCTGATGATGAGGATGAGTACCATGAAAATGATGGTGATGAGATGATGGTCAATAATGATGACGGCGCTGATGACTATTACGATGGTTATGACGATGCTGATGATGGGAATGATGACGATGATGCTGAGGATGATGATGGCGATGGTGGTGATGATGCTGATGATTGCGTTTATGGTGATAGTGATGATGGTGATGGTGATGATCATGGTGGTGGTAATGATAATGATAATGATAATGATAATGAAAATGATAATGATAATGATAATGATAATGGTGATGATGATGCTGCTGATGATGATACTGAAGATGAAGATGAAGATGAATAGGAAGATGAAGATGATGAAGATGATGATGATGATGATGATGATGATGATGATGATGATGATGATGATGATGGTGATGATGATGATGATGCTGGTGATGATATGAAGGGTCTCTGGGGGCAGGGCGAGGAGGAGCAACGGCGGCGGCAGGCCGCGGGAGCCGACCCTCACATCAGCTGGAGGATCTGGAGCTGAGCCAGCTTCGACACCAGTATGGCGCCGTGGAAGAAGCCATCCATCCACAGCAGCTTCAGCCCCGACCCGCCAGCCTGCTGCTGGCGCTCCTCGAGGTAGCGCCTGACGGCTGGGGGGTTGGTGATGTCGTCCTTGCTCGACAGGGCCACCACGCAATCGCTCGGGAGCTCATCCCGCCACATCACGTTGTGGTACCAGTAGAAGTGCCGCATCAGCACGTTCGCCGCGAAGAGCTCCCAGCGCACGAAATGCGCGGCCGCCAACATCATGGCATTGGGGGGCCTCCTGCCGGGGAGACGCAAGACTCGAGCTTGGGGGGCTCGAGCTCGCCTGATGGCGCCGTCAGAAAAACCACGGGACTCGGTCTGAAACTTGACGCGAACTCCCAGGAGCAGAACAGGAGGAGCAGCAGGAGGAGGAGGAGCAGGTGAAGGAGGAGCAGGCGAAGGAGGAGCAGGCGAAGGAGGAGCAGGAGAAGGAGGAGGAGGAGGAGCAGCAGGAGGAGGAGGCAAAGGGTAGAGCAGAGGAGGAGGAGGAGGAAGAGGAGGAGGAGCAGGAGGAGGAGGAGGAGGAGGAGAGCGGCGGGCCAGCCTCTCGGGCCCCTCACGGTCCCCCCCGGTTCGGTATATGAAGTTGAAGGCCACGTCGGGCTGGCACAGGAGGAAGCACCCCCTCCCCCCTCCTCCCTCCTCCCTCCTCCTCCTCCTCCTCCTCCTCCTCCTTCTCCACACCTCTTGATTGGTTCTCCCTCCCTTCTCCGCCTGACCAGCGTTTCCTCGAGTACCACGGGTGTGAGCCTTCGGAACCCTTGCCTGGGGGCATTTACGGGGCTGACGGTGCAGGAGGTGCTTGGTCTAAGCATCCTGCGCTGCGCTGGTGGCCTTCGCTTTCGTCAGGCTTGACGCTTCTGGGGATGTTTTTTTATTGGAGCCATGGGGTCACGCGTCTGGTCGAGGGCAAAAGGCAGACGGTCCCAATGGCTGAGCTGACAGGCCTGATTGAGGCCGTTCGCCATGTTGCCAAGAACGAAGAATTGACTCTTGTTTGTGATCATATCAACCACGTGCACGCCTACCATAAAGGAAGGCATCATACTTTTCGCCTTGCCAATGCAGATCTGCGGTGGGAGTTGTGGCACCTTTTTGATTTGCGCACGGCTGAAACTTATCTTGTGCATTGCCCTTCTCACCTTGATAATGGTGACAAGTTTCGCAGGTTTTGGCGCACGTCGGTCGCAGAGCATGTTTATGTCAATCGTGCTGCGGACCATATTGCTGACCAGCGTGCCGAGTGTGCTCAGATCCAGTCTCATATCTGCCGAGATGTGCTAGCACTTGAGGAGAAAGCGAAATCGACCCTGCTGCGTATGGCCTCCCTCACTTTTGCGATCGCGTCCCGTCCGAAGGATCGCTCGCGCGTTGTCGTTAAGAGCATTGTGGACCGGATAGAGAAGGCCAAGCAGCGCAGGCTTGAGTTCATACGAGACTCGTCACACCAATTTTGTAAGGACGCAAGTCTTTCTTGAAACTGCTATGGGTGCGGCCTCAATGCCCGAGAGAAGTTGCGAGGTTTCCGGGACTCCGTTTTGTCGGCTTGCCCCGCCCTTGCTCCCAGGCCTCCCGTCCCGCTCCCCAGGGTTGTCCCGTCCTTGGAGCCCGAGGCCCCCGTGGATGAGTGGCTTTGGCGTCGTCTGGGTTTGGAGGATCCGCCCCAGAGAGTTGCCCACCCTGCCTTTATAGGGTGACAGCAGCTGAATTCAACTCACGAGCTCTGGTTTAAAGGGCGCTTTGTGTTTTGTGGCCTGTGCGGGTCCTGGGCCGCCCAGCGACCAGTCAACCTTTTGATTGGTTGCCATGTGGCCCTCGAGGGCCCGCACAAAATCTCCCCGAAGCAGTTGCAGGCGCTCCAGCGAGTACGCAAGGGTAAGCCACATCAGCAGACTGCCTATTCTTGGGGTGACGAGTGTGCCCTAGCGCTCTAAGTAAATCTATTTTCAGCGTCGAGTTTTAACCTGCTGGCAGAGTTTGGCTTGATGATGCACACAGTGAAAAAAAGTCCTCCTTCTCCGCCTCCGCCTCCTCCTCCTCCTCCTCCGCCTCCTCCTCCTCCTCCTCCTCCTCCTCCTGCTGCTCCTCCTCCTCTCTCGAGCCCCTCACGGCCCCCACCCCTCGATCCGGTACAGGAAGTTGAAGGCCACGTCGGGCTGGCACAGGAGGAAGCAGACGGGGTCCATGAGCACGAGCTTGCTCACCTCGGCAACACGCCAGGGCGACCCTGCAGTCGAAACGCTGTCTTAAGGAAACCCAAATCAGGAACGAGGCCCCTTTGTTCCATAAGTAAGCTTCGATTTCACATAAAATACAAAGGAAAACCTGAGACAAACTGTGAAACAAATTCAGAAGATTAGGCCCCTCCCAAACAAAGAGGCTTCCTTCTTTAGCGGCCCGACTGTAGGCAAGGGTGACCTTTAGTGCGCGGATGAAGGGGGCGCGAGGTGGACAAATCCAAGCGCGTGGGCAGCCTCTTTCGTATCACGCTCAGCGATCGGGGGACCCCAGCGAGCCCGCACCCAAGGTTCCTCCGGCGAAGGGCCACTCCTCACACGCAGCCGGTCACCTCGGAGCTCAGGGCGCGTCGGGGCCGCGGTATAGCTCGCAGTCGGCCCCCCGACCCCTCCATGGGGCCCAAACGCACCACTGTTTTCCGAGCTGCGTCCAGCCGTGGCGACGAGCCCCCCCCCCCCCCCAGAGCGAAGGCCAACCAATTACCGAAGTCTCAGCTGGCCCTCCTCTGACCCTCCCTCCCTCCCCCGAGATCCCTCCCTCCCTCGAAAGCTTGCAGCATCGCGAGAAACCACGACCGGATCCCCAGACAGCGACACCACCTTTCGAGCCCGACCGATCTGTGATGCCCCCAGGGCCCGCCACCGGGTGAAAACGCCCGGGGTGAAAAAGTTGCAGCGCCTGGACCTCAGGGCTTTCTCCCCCCTCCCTCTTCGACGTCCCACCCGCGTACTCGACTCGGTCACCGGGTCAGGGCTTGAACCCACCAACTTTGCGAGCTGCGCCCAGCCGTGGCAGCCATGGCGACGAGGGGGCCCCCCCGAAGGCCAGCTACCGCAGTCTCAAGCGCGATAAGCGATACACTGTTTACATCGCCCTGATTTTATATCGCACTCGCCCTCCTCGGATCACCAGGTCGGGGCGCGCGCGCCACACCCAGCTGGCGATGCACGTGCCGTACGAGTGGGCCACGAAGCAGGCCCTGCCGTGCCCGCGGGACCGCAGCATGGCAGCCAGCGCCACTGGCGCGCCGCCTGGCGTGAGCGTGACTTCCGCCCCCGCCTGCGACACCTCGGGCACCTCTCGGGCGTTCGCTTCCGGGGAACGCAGTCAACGTGGGGCGGGCGTCTTCGCCCGCGGCGCCGAGACTTTTGCGCGTCCCCGTCGGCCCTCGGCGGACTTCCAGCCTCGGGATGCTCTCCAGCACCCGCGCTTCGCCGAGAGCGTTCAAGGGGGGTGCCCGGCCCGTCCCGAACGGCCGCCGGAGAGCCGCGCTATGACCCGAAAACCGGACGACCCGGATCTTCGGCACTTTCCCGAAGTGGCAGTTTGGGGGTGGCTGGCAAGCCAGGTGCCTGATCATCAGAGGGGGTACGTATTGATCGGGTGTTCGTCAACTGGGGATGCAATAAGTCAGAGGAGGGAAAGGTACCAACGCCGCTACCCTTGCCGCGCTTTCGCCCTTTTGGGCCTCCTGGAAGGTCCTCGTTGCCACCGCTAGGTTCGCTTGAAATCCTGGTCAGAACGCGGCCCACGAGAGGTCCAGGGAGTAACATCATCGTTATCCTTTGGTTCTCCCAATAAGCGTGGGATGAAGACACGTGCGCTGTTCGTGCGCCTTTTGGGCCCACGGTGCCATATGAGGGGCTATGCAGGGGCCCTTTCGAGCCACTCTTTCCTAAAGTCCTGGATCGCCCCACGTCGTTTATGGCACTCCCACTGCCATCCGCCCGAACCTCCACGACGAAGCACTCCCGCAGCCCCGTGAGCCTCCTGATGAAGGGCAGGTAGGGCAGGAGGCCCACCTGTTCGATGGCAACACATGGGAGCCTCCTAAACCATCTTGTCGGCTCTTGCGAATCGACGCTTGTCGTCGCTAGATCGACGCGAATCGACGCAAATCGACGCTAGCCGACGCTGAGTCGGCGCTATCTCATCGACTCCCAGACGCTAATCGACGCTAGTCGACGCTAAAGACAGGCCTTACGAGGGCACACGAGGCTCCCATGATTTGCTACCGAACCACCTGGGGGAGAAGGCATCTCTGCACAAACACGTCAGCTTTCGGAGGCCCACGTGGACTTCTTCGGTCGGCGCCAGACCTTCCTCCCTGGCGCGCGGGACGCGCCACGGCGGGGTCCTGCTCAGATCAAAATCATGCCCCTGAGATCCGGGCGTTGCATTTTTTTCAGACCAAGCGTTCTCGCCGAGTTTCAGGTCCCAGGACTATCCCAAGTCGATCTGGCTCGAAAAGTGCGGCAGATCGTGCTTTTCGCGCGACGTTGCACTTTTCCGCAAGGTCGGATTTCGGGGAGGGCCAGGAACGGTTTCTCAGCGTGTTGCGCCGCCAGCTCTAGCCCACCACGCACCAGCGCGACGCGCCATAACCTCGTCCCTGTCTCCAAGTATCAGCGTCCAGAGCGCTTCGTGGCCTGTCGCCCCGCGAAGCGGAACGACACGCTATCAGCTCGCAGGGCGTAGCGTGTCGTCGGGTCGGCGCCGGACCCCCCTCCCTGGCGCGCGCGGGGCGCGCCAGGGGGCGGCGCCGAAGGGCGCTGCCAAGGGCGGGGGGTGCAGCGCAGGTGCAAGAATAGAGGCCTCCTAGATGGGGTCGGAGTAGATGGGGTGGGAGGATCGTGTCGCATCCCCGATGCATCGGCGATGCATTGGTGATGCACCAGCGATGTCGGCGATGCAGTGGCGCCGCCGGCGTGGAGAAAATTGGGCCCCACAGCGAGCCGCATCGCTGATGCATCAACGATGCATCGGCGATGCGGCGCGGTCCTCCGACCCCATCTACTCCGACCCCATCTGGGAGGCTTAAACAGAAAGAGTCCGCACGGACCTCCGAGAGTTTACTCGGAGCAGGGCGCGTCGGGACAACGGACGCTCAAAATCGGACCCTGGACACCTCCATGGGGGGGCCAAACGCACCGCTGTTTTCCGAGCTGCGCCCAGCCGTGGGCGACGACAGGACCCCCCGAAGGCCATCTACCGTTGTCTCAGCTGGCCCTCCTCTGGCCCTCCGTCCTTCCCCTGAAACCCCCTTCCTTCTTCACTGCAGCATCGCGAGAAACCACGACCCGATCCCTCGACACCACCTTTCGAGCCCGACCGATCTGTGATGCCCCCGGGGCCCGCCCCCTGGCGAAAACGCCCAGGGTAAAATAATTGCAGCGCCCGGACCTCAGGGCATCCTCCCCCCTCCCTCCTCGACGCCCCACCCGCGTATTCGACTCGGTCACCGGGCCAGGGTTTGAACCCGCCAACTTTGCGAGCCGTGCCCAGCCATGACAGCCGCGGCGACGAGAGGGGCCCCCCCGAAGGCCAGCTACCGCAGTCTCGAGCGCGATAAGCGATACACTGTTTACATCGCCCTGATTTTATATCGCACTCGCCCTCCTCGGATCACCAGGTCGGGGCGCGCGCGCGCCACACCCAGCTGGCGATGCACGCTCCGTACGAGTGGGCCACGAAGCAGGCCCTGCCGTTCTCCCCCTCCCTCCTCGACGCCCCTCCCGCGTACTCGGTCACAGGGCCAGGGTTTGAACCCACCAACTTTGCGAGCTGCGCCCAGCCGTGGCAGCCGTGGCGACGAAGGGCCCCTCGAAGGCCAACTACCGCTGTCTCCAGAGCGATCGGCGATACACTGTGTACGTCACCCTTTCCTCTTACCGCGCTGGCCCTCCTCGGATCCCCAGGTCGGGGCGCGCGTGCCCCAACCAGCTGGCGACGCAAGGGCCACTGGGTGATTTGTATGCCTGTGCACATTGTTCCCTGTCGGCGGATGAAGAGGAGGAGGAGGAGGAGGAGGAGGAGGAGGAGGAGGAGGAGGAGGAGGATGAGGAGGAGGAGGAGGAGGAAGAGTAGAGGAGGAGGAGGAGAAGGAGGAGGAGGAGGAGGAGGAGGCCTCTAGGACACCTGGTGGGGATTCCTATGGGCCGAGGGAGAGGCCTTTGGGCCTTCCCTTGCTGTCGGCCATCCTGGCAAGGGCCATGGCGGCCGCGGCCGCAACTAGACACCAGTGATATCACATCACCAGCTGCGGCCATCAGGGCACCTCCATCACCACCTCCACCCATGTTTCCTGCGCGTGCACCTCCTTTTAACTCCAACTGCATACGCTTCGTCATCGTTCCTCATCCCACCTCCGCCATCAGTGCACAGTGCGCCACAGCGCTGGCCATCCTGGCAAGGGCCAGGGCTGCTGCGGCCGCACCTAGACACTAATGGACATCACATCAGCAGCTCGGCCATGAGGGCACCTCCATTACCGCAACCACCCCCGTTTTACCAGCTACTACCTTTGGCCACATCAGTGCCCACCCCCACCCACCTCCATCCTCTGTCCACGTGGGCGCCCCAAGAGGGTTGACCCAGGGCACCCCCAGGGCACCGACCCCAAGAGGTCGGGGGACCCAAACGGGGGGGACCCAAGACAGGGCCCTCAGGGGTCCACCTACACCTGCCATCTGTGCTTTGCCGCATACCTCCACCTCTTCCTCCTCCCCCTCGGTCGCTATTATGATGGTGCCTCCTTTCCTTCTCTCTCCCTCTCTCTCTTACCCCTCTACTGGGGTCGAGCCCCACAGTTTTGGTCTACCTCTCACGTCTCACCTTTTTCCCTAATTAGCCCCCGACACTCTCTGTGTTCAGACGAGGGGCGATCGGCAAGACAAGCGGTTGCAGGATCAACGTCATCTACCGTTAGCAGCAGCAGGAGGAGGAGGGCGAGGAGGAGGAGGGGGAGGCGGAGGAGGAGGAGGAGGAGGAGGAGGAGGGGGAGGCGGAGGAGGAGGAGGCCACCCCGAGGCCGTGGATGAAGACGACCGGCGGCTCGGGCGGCCGAGCCTCGCCGCGCTGCAGGAGCAGCCCGGGCAGCGGCCCAGGGGGCGCGTAGTGGAAGAAGGACACCCCGTGGCCCTCCGAGGCCTCGGCTCGTTTGTTGTTGTTGTTGTTGGTGTTGTTGTTGATGATGTTGTTGTTGTTGTTATCATTGCTGTTGTTGCTATTGCTAGAGTTGCTGTTGTCGTCGTCGTCGTTGTTGCTGTTGGTGCTATTGGTGTTGTGGTTGTTGTTGTTGTTGTTGTCGTTGTTGTTGTTGGTGGTGGTTGTGGTGTTATGGTTTTCTGTTGCGTGTGTTTGTTACTGCGCTAGCGGAATACATATATATATATGTATGTGCATGTATGGATGTATGTATGTATGAATGTATGTATGTATGTGTGTATATGTATGTGCGTATATGTGTATGTGTATACAGATACACGTACAGACATACACGTGTATACATCAATGTGTCGATATACACATATACGTATATAATCGTACATGAATATGTACGCATGTTGTGCTTCGCGCGTTGTGCAGCCATCGGCCTGGCTCTTGCGTTTGAGGTACGGAACGCGTCTTGTGCCCAGATGTGCTGTGCTTGCATGGCTCGCGTGCTCTCCGAGGCCTTGGTGTAGGTGAAGCCCATGAGCCGCATCGACTGCCGGGTGACGGCCTGCAGGGCGCGGATGCTCGCGTAGTAGGCCAGAGGGTGGCACCACGCGTGCACCGCGTCGAAGTTGATCCGGATGGGCCTTATGCCCTCGCCGTAGCCCTCCGGCAGGCGCCAGCCGAACCGCTGCTCCATCTCCTGCACCATGCCCTCGGCCAGCTTGCTCTCGCCCGCGTCCAGCTCCGCGACCTCCTTGCAGAACCAGGCCCACGCGGCGAACTCCAGCAGGTTGCCCCTGCGCAGGAGCGCGAAGGGGCAGCCCAAGAACCAGCCCTCGATCCACCGCTGGGAGTCCCTGCCGACTCCCTGGGCACACCCCTCGGCCGCCCAGCCTCTGCACACCTCGACGGTCTGCATCGTGCGGCGGAAGAGGCTCAGGCTGCCCTCGGGGGGCTGCAGCCTCTCGCAGAGCGGCCTCGCCCGCTGCACGCGCCGCTGAAGCGACTTGAGGTAGACGAAGAAGCACACCTCGCACGCAACGTAGGCGAGCGCCAGCGACGAGAGCGCCAGCGTGGAGAGCCAGGGCAGCACGACGCCCAGCAGCGCGCCGGCCAGCAGCAGGCCGGCCGCGAGCCGCCACGAGGCCACCGTGGCCACGATCATCACCAGCCCGCGGTACAGGGCGGCCAGGAACGTGAAGAGCGACCCATAGATGAGGTGGCAGTGGAGCGCGTCCAGGTCCTCGGAGCTCACCCCCCGGCCCCTCGCCTGCCAGGCCGCGGCCGCGGCCGCGGCCTCCGCGCCCGCGCCCGCCACCTCCTCGAGCCTGGCCCTCTTGCTGGAAAGCCGCGCCATCTCCGCTATCTGGCTGTAGTGGCCGAGCTCGTCGCTCGAGCCCCCCAGTGAGGCCTGGCAGCGGCCTGCGCCACCCCGCGCGCCACCGCGCGGGCCGACGAGGAACAGGCTCGGCCGCCCTCGCCCGCCGCCGCGCACGGGCCTGTGAGAAGAAAAAACTACGTAAACAGAAACTTCTGGCGCTCCGCGTGGACTTCCTGGATCTGCACTGGGCCCCCCTCCCTGGCGCGCGGCGCGGGCCAGGGGCGGCGCCGGAGGCGCCGCCGGGGGGTCCCAGCGCAGATCCAAGAAACCCGCGCGGAGCGCCCAAAAGTTCATGCTTCTGGCGTGGTTTCTTCTTCGAGGGCCGGACGCCCAGCCCTGGAGGCCAGCGCCGTGCCCGTCCCTGCCGGTGCCCGCGCCCATCGGGGCCGGCGCCCGCCGCCGGCGCTGCCGCGCTGGGGCTGGCCAGGCCGGGGCCGCGGCGCCGTGGAAGGGCCTCTGCGGCGCCCGGGGGCCGAGGCGTCGCCCCTGGGCCAGAGCGGCCGCGGAGGAGGAGGAGGAGGAGGACGAGGAGGAGGAGGAGGAAGACCACTGTGACCCAAGACACGTCAACTGATGTTGCAGTACATCAATGCTTTCAAGTTTCCTCTTCGAATGACCCTATAAGAAACTTTTGTCAGTGGGAAATGCCCCATGGGAAGACAACAGTTTAAGAATTCGCAACCGTACCAAATAACATTCCCGTGGCTTCGACGCCGCGAATCAGCGTCTCTGTTGCGCCCTGACAATCCGAAGTCGTGACAAAACACCACCCCTGGAGCTTCAGCACGGCGAATCAACGTGACTGTTGCGTCCTGACAATTACTGCTCCATTCCTTAGCCTCCAGCCATATGAATCCTTGAAACTGTTGTAAGATTTCAAAGCGAATGCGTGCGGCGCAGATGAGAGAGCCACATTCTGAAAAAGAACCGCTCTCCATCCTTGAAGCTGCTGCGACATGTTAAGACGGATGTGCGTGGTGCTAAGGTGAGAGCTCATGTTGACGACGCCGTTAATTTTGAAGCTGCTGCAAACATGCAAACTTTTAAGACGAACACCATTTCGAAAACCAACCAACCTCCATCCGTGAAGCTGCTGTGCAAATCTCTAAGCTTCAGAATCATGTATGGGACATCCCAGGCTAAAAACGCCCAGCCCGCCCCACCGACACGTCTGGGGGGGGTGGACAGGGAGGAGTTGCTTATAAGGATAAGAGGTTGGAGCAGGAAGGCACTGACGCTGCAACCCATGCCGATTAAAGACCGCTCAACGTCAAAGGAGGAGGAGGAAGAGGAGGAGGAAGAGGAGGGAGGAGGGAAAAGGGAGGAGAAAGAGGAGGAGGAGGAGAACGGAGGAGGGGAAGAGCAGGAGGAGCAGGAAGAGGCGGGGAGTGATGAGAGCCCTGAAGGGGTGAACAGCGCTGGGACCGAGCTTGGTGGCCAAGTCTTTAGATTGAGCACTTGCCCTGATCCCTGCTCCTCCTCTCCCATCCCCCTTCTCCTTTTCGAGATACGGTGTTTGGTCGCTGGGGCAGAGATTTGTCACCTGCCCTCCCAACCCTACCCCTCCTCCACCTCCTGCTCCGCCTCCGCTGGCTCCTCATCTTCCTCCTGCTGGTCCGCTGCCCTCCTCCTCCTCCTCCTCCTCCTCCTCCTCCTCCTCCTCGCCATCACAATCATCATCTTCACCATCACCATCACCATCACCACCACCATCATCAGCATCATCATCACTAGCGTCATCATTTTCACCATCATCGTCCTCATCATTACCATCAACAACAACATCATCACCATGTTCGCCATCATCATCACCACCATCATCACCATCAGCTCCATCCATCATCACAATCATCATCATCATCAGCATCATCATCATCATCATCATCATCAACATCGCCATCATCATCCGCATCACCATCGCCAACACCATCACCGTCACCGTCATCATCACAATCATCATCATCATCATCATCATCAGCAGCATCACCATCAATATCACCACCACCATCACAATCGCCATCACCATCTCCATCATCATCATCATCACCACCATCGTCATCATCATCATCATCGTCATCATCACCATCACTGTCACCATCAGCATCACCACCACCATCATCATCATCATCAGCATCATCATCATGATCATCAGCATCATCATCATCGTCATCATCATCGTCGCCATCGTCATCGTCACCATCAGCACCATCGTCATCATCATAATCATCAGCATCACCAACATACCACCATCACCATCGCCATTGCCATCACCAGCACCACCACCACCAGCATCATCACCATCAGCATCATCATCACCATAACCATCACCAGTTCCATCAGCAGCAGCATGATCAGCATCAGCATCATCATCATCATCATCATCATCATCATCATCATCATCATCATCATCATCATCATCATCCTGATCTTGCTCCTCCTGATCATGCTGCTACTGGCACTTTTCCTCATACACCTCCTCCTGCTCCTCGTCCTCCACCTCCTGCCCGTTCTCCGTCGCATCCCCTCCTCGAACGTATGCCCACCGTCGCCCAGTGGCCACGCATCCCAGCCTGCTGTAGCAACTGCGCACGTGTAGTACGTGCACACATAGGAGTATCCAGAGGCAAGTGAGACGAGTGACTGCAAGCATTGTAGTTGCAACATGCAATAGTCAAGCGTTGACAGGCAAGGTCCCGATCCTCATCCGAGAGTCTCCCCGCTATAGACCAAGTCTGCAATCAAGCTTAAATGGCATAGGGCGATCAGGGAACCAGACCCCTTTCACGGCAGGCCACAACACAGGGCTGCTCATATAGTGTTTCTGCGAGTCCTTGGCGCCCTCGCCCTCACAGCCGAAAAAACGCGCACGGTCCACGTGGCTTAATCGTCCAACCCCCCTCCCAAGACCTTGGGCACGGACATCTGCCGCGATGGAGGAGCGCTCGCAAGGCGTTCACGAAGCCAGGGCCAGGAGGTTCCCTGAAGAGCCTCGGCAGAAGGGGGATCCCGAGGCCCAAGACGACAACCATTCAAGCAACGCCCCCTGCAGCCTGCAGCGCGCCCTGCAAACAAAAAGCAACGTCCCAAGCGCTCGAGCGATGACCATCTGAATCTTGACCCCGGCATCAGAAAGCTGCGCTTCGGCGAGAGCATCAGCCGCAGCGGCCACAGGCGCCCGCAAGACAGCCAGCTGGAAGAAGCCGTCCCTGGCCACGCTCAGCGTCTGGGCGAATGACCAACGGCGCCAGAAGGGAGGGGGCCATTGCCCTGCAGGCCACGACGCGATGGGGGGACGGCGTCCCGCCATCTCCTGAGGGCGCTGCGAAAGCCACCTCCCATTCGAGATCGTTTCCTTGGCCGCGCGCCAAAGACTGGAATCCGACTGCACCTTCGCTGAGAGGGGGCCCGACCTTTGCCCAGGCCCCCGGGGGCGAGGAGCTGGGAGAGAGGGAACGCAAAGGGGGGGCGGCGAAGGACCTCGCGGGAGGCCCAGGGCTCCCAACGGAGAGCCTGCACGGGAGCAGGGGCAAGCTGGCACCGGTAGGAGCATTTCGAGACAGCTCGCGCACTGCACAGCTGAGTCGCAATCGAGGGGGGGCGGCCTGCTGCTTGGATGCACTGCTGGCCACCTCCACCCACTCCCCAAACACCCGGTCCCACATCTGCTTCAACGCAGCTGGGCCGATCCACACCCCAAGGTACTCCACGCAGGCAGCTAGCGGCACTTCCCAGAACCTCGGAGGCACCGTCTCGAGAAGCGAGAGAAGCATGGGGCGCAGATGGTCCGTGAATCCTGCCCCCAGCGGCACGACGCAGCATTTTGACATCTTTGCTTTTTGGCCAGCAAGGACCTTTGCAGCAGAAGAAACATCTCGCACCTCGGGGGGCGCCTTGATATTCGAAAGAACAAGCCCCACATCGTCCGCGCACACCCCCTCCCCCGACCCAGGGAATTTCACGAATCACTTCCGAAGATCACGCAGCAATGGGCCCATGATCAGAGCCCAGCCCGCGCCGCTGAACGGATCCCCCTGCATCGCGCCACGCCGGATGACACAGAAGTTGAAGGGAGACCAAGCAGCATGCGCAAACATATGTATGGCCTGCACCAAAAGATATGCAGCTCTTTTGAAGACCAGCAACGAGGAGGACCCCTCACCCCACAGGAAGGGGTGACAGAGAGAGGGGAAGGCGTTGCCGATGTCACTGGGGAGGATGAGGATGAGGAGGAAGAGGAGGGGGTGATACTAACACGCTTTCTCGGGCATCCGCAGGGTTCTGGCTGTCACACCTAGCTGGGCCACATTCTTCAAGAAGTTGCGCCCTACGAGGCATCGCTAGTCGGGATTGGGCCTGCTTTCTTACTACATGCTCAAGCTTCTGCTACAGGCGGCTGAGAAAATCGTCACGTTGGACTCTTGTCAAAACTAGCGGGCGCGAAGAGGCATGGCCCCCTGACGCCCTGCTGTGGTCGTTCGCCTGCGTTCCCCTTGGTGCGAAAGCGAGCAAAAGATGGTTCAATCCAACCGGCGGAAACATGCCATTCAGCATGAGTTGGAGGAGGTCAAACAGTATCTCAGCCAAGAGGGAGTTATGCTGCCATGCAGCGCGCGGCAATCCGTCAGGCCAAGGAGCCGTCTGGTTGGCACGACGAATCGTCCCCCTGATTAGAGCAACCGTCGGGGGAAGGAAATCGGACCAGTCGAAAGGCACCGCGTGCTTCTCTAATCTGGCCGAACATGTTGGTTGAAAAGGAGCTCCTTTCCAGAAGAGCACAGGGGCCCTGTCGTGCCCAGCGAGCCATCAAGGGAGACTGAGGCCTGGAGCGGGAATGTACCCCTGGATGGTGGCCAAAGCCTGCCACGCCTACGATCAGCCTGCAAATGTGCCCGGAGTATCCGCTTTTCTTAGAATGCCGAAGACTCTTTCACCGCCGTCTCTGCGGACTCAAGCATCTGCTGCTAGAGCTGCTGCTGAAGGGATTCGCACTCGCGACGAAGCACGACGGCAGACCTCAGCGACGCCGACCCCTCCAGCGACAGCACGCGGCGCTTCGCGGCGGCAGGGGCAGAGGCCAGCAGGCGAGAGGCAAGGGCGGCAATCAAAAGCTTAGTCTCGAGCTCTGGAGCCCGAGCACGGATTAGCGAGTTTCTGGCCATCCGAGCGGCCTCCCGAAGTAAACGTTTATACCCTCGCCGCTTGGCAATGAGCGGCGCGGCGTTGAAGAGAAGGGGGAGAAGCTAAGCAATAGAAACAGGAAGTGCGAGAAAGAGGGAGACTGGCACAGAAAATGATGGACTGCTCATGCTCAGGTCTCGGCTGCCGTGACCCGAACGTCACGCGCAGTGGGGCATGATCGAATATGCCACGTTCTTGAAACAACTCGGGTTTGTTTTATACAGTGGAGGTCAGGCAGTACGGAAGCAGCAGCCAGTCATGCGTGCCTACGAAGACCTTGTCTAGCTGGGTGGGCTGCTGGCCCTCCGCGATAAAGTGTGCGGGCTGCTCGGGGTCGAGCTCAATCATGTTGCTCAGGATGCGCTCCCAGTCCTGCACGTGCTCTCTCGAACGTGGTTCCGCCAGGATGCCCTTGTCGATCTCAAGCGTCGCCATATATACAGCCGCCTTGCTGTCGAAATCGAAATCACCAAGCACCATCGCAGCCGAGCGCACCGGGAACTCCTCGGATACGGCCACCACCGCTGAGATGCGAGCCACCAGGTTCGCCACCTTACCAGAATTGCCGAATTCGTATATGTTGTGTATATATATATGTCTATTACCCACATCACGTACTCACTCCTCGATTGACACGCTCTCGGTTTCATCGCAACCGTTGAACGCGGCCAAGTACAATGATATGATGTCGAGTCCGTTCTCAGCCACCGCCAGATGAGCCACCTACTGAGTGAGGCCCATCATAAGGATCGACACATCACCCGTATCATGTTTTTGGGATCGAGGAGATGACGGCGACCTTCGAATGAGAAAGAAAAGCTTGCTGGCGCAGTTCCTCATCTGTGCCGT